AGTCCAGTCCGTCCCTGCCTGGGCCTGAAGGGGTGCGTGTCTGTCGGCCTCTTCCTCCTCCTCCTCCTCCTCCTCGGGGGCGAGGATCCTGCGGCCTCCAGAGAAAGAGAGGGGGGGAAGGAAAGGAAAGGGGGGGGTGCCTCGGCTCCGTGCCCGCCGTCGGGGCCGCCCCCTCCTTTCGTGCAGGCTACGGGCGTGGGAAGGGAGCCGCCTTTCGGGCCACGGCGGTGCTCCGCGTGTCGCCCGCTGCACGTGGGAAGGGAAGGCAGGAGGAAGAGAGGACCTGCTCTTTCCCTTCTCCCTTAGGGGAAGGTGGGGGGGGTGGCAGGAGGAAGAGAGGACCTGCTCTTTCCTCCTTAGGGGAAGGTGGGGGGGGCCTATGACTTGGTCTTCGTGAGAACCTCCTCCTCCTGGAAGGGGGGGGACGACGACGACCAGGTGGGAAAACCCTTGGCGCGTTCAGACGAGCATGACTGGGACCGCAGAGCCAGAGAGAGAGAGAGGTGGGGAGAAGGTCGGAAGGGAGAGGCCCTTCGTTCGGCGTGTCAGACGGTGGACACGACACGGCTTCTTGCCCGCGAAGGCTGGTTTGGCTTTGCTGGGAATGGGAGGAAAGCAGGCTCACCCTCGGGCTGCTTTTTGGCCGGTTGTCTTCAGACACCCCGGGATTTTGAATTCTCTTCCATTCAGCAACTCTGAATGAGCCTGGCAGGCCGGAAAGGTAGGCAGGACTTGCTCCTTCTTGATCCTTGCCTTCCCGGGATCACCTACCAACTTCTATTATTGATGGGTAAATAGGTCAGGTTGCATATGGAAGTTAGAAGCTCATTTCTAAGACAAGTACTGTAATTGTAAGATGATTTTTGCCAGGGGTGGTAATGAGAAATGGGGAATGCAACAGTGTTGCCTGAGGAGTGGTTCTTTGTTTAGGGCTCTGTTCTTTCATGTTTCTATACTCCCACTGTGCCTGACAAGTACACATCTGTACACCTGTAGGTTTCACACCGCCACCAGAACACAGAAGGGTTTTTGAGTTATTTGTTTTGCACTATTGCTTCTTTGTTTCCTGTTGTTGGTTTGTTTCATGAGTATTTGAGCAGTGCCATCTGTAGAATCTAATGATCAATGAGACTATAACCCACAGAAAGCAACACAGAAGTTTTTTAAATAAACCAACAGCAGGAAGCCAAGGCCTGAAAAGCTGATGATGTAGGTAAAGAACTCAAAAGCTCTTTGCGGGAGTGGCAAAACCTACAGATGTGCAGATTCACGTTTGTGGGCTGCAATTCCTGGAATTCTTGGAGAATTCCAGAAATTGCCATGCAAAAATATGAAAGAGTACATACCCTAATGTTCATGCCATGAACCCTATGTGGATTGGAGATCATTCCTGAGCCCTATGTGAGCCAAACGGGAAAATGTCAGGTTCTGTTTTAACCATAGAGGCCTAATCCTGTTTAAGCATATGCTGCAATGGATACTAGGCATGTTTTCGTACTTGTGTAGGTACAGGTATTCATTGCCTGCTTGCCCATGGGAATCCCAGTTTCCAGTTCACATCATTACAAGTCAGAAACGGTTCAGAGCACAGAGGCTGTGGAAATGCTTGAACTGAAAATGCCAGCAGGATCCCACTGATCATGGATAAAACTAATCAGAATTCAGTTTTCTCACTGAAGTCAACTTGGGAATTTCTGCTAAGTTTGGGATTAGGTTGAACAAACCACAGTTTTGTTAAATACGTAGTTCCTGTATTTGTTTTATGTAAATACCAGGCCATGGTCTCCTGCATTTTAAACTATAGCAGTATAGATTTGGCCGCAGAGAAGCAGCTTTAATGCTGTGAAGGCGGCGCTATTAGCACTACTTTATAGAGGCAGAACCATCATTTCCATCCCTATTTTATAAATGAAGAATCTGAAGCCAAGAATAGAAGATGCTGTACGTTACACCGAATTGTAAATATTGGTGTTGTATAACCTTTTTATATTAATCAACCTGCTGCCTGTTGACTGAAGATTTTTTTTAAAGAAATAACACAGCTGGAAAACATACAGGATGAGTCTGTGGCTTAATTATTTTTTAATGTTTAATGTATTATGCTTTTAATTCTATTCCTTTAACATTGTGAGCTGCCTTGGGCCCCCTTATCAGGCGATAGATGGCCTATAAATAAAACAAATACTGTAATAACAAGAAATCTAAATTGGCAAATGCTTTCTTCAGAGATAAAAACTTTCAAAATATTTTACCACGACTCTTCGTGATCTCAGGGCTGTTCACATCTGGTTGCCAGTTTGCATGGAACTTTGCCCACAAAGGCTGAGGTTTTTTTTGTTTACAATATTATCATACTTCCTTATTGAATTGAATCAGGCAGGTAAAATCGAGGCAGTGCAAACTAGTACAGTGTACTGTAAAAATACCATAAAATCAATAACAAAAGATGAACAGAGTAAGTTTCCTGATGAGAAGGAGCAAGAATTGAATCAGTTAAGAAGTTTGG